AGTCTGGGGGCTTCCCTGGGGGTGCAGGGTTAAAAGTTTGCCTGCCGGTGCAGAGGACGAGGGTTCAGTCCCTAGTCCCCGAGGATCCCACAAGCCTCAGGGCAACTAAGCCCATGCACCACAACCAGTGAGCCCGAGCACTGTAACTGCTGAAACCCACACACCCAGGGCACGTGCTCTGCAACAAAAGATTCCACCGCAGTAAGAAGCCCGCACTGCAACGAAGAGAGAGAGTAGACCCCACTCTCCCCACCTGCAGAGAGCCCACACACAGCGATAAAGACCCAGGGTAGCCAAAAATAAAATAATAATTAATTTTTTAGGAAGTCTGCCTTGGGCATTGGAGAAGGGAATCTACTCCAGTATTCTTGCCTGGAGAATCCCATGAACAGAGGAGCCTGGCGGGCTACTCTTTGTGGGGTCGCAAAGAGTCGGACACAACTGAGCGACTAACACGCTGCCTTGGGTATGGGAAGGGAAGTAGTCATGTGCATAGCATTTCTATCCACTCAGGCAATCAGCAAATATTGAATACTTACTCTGGGCTGGGAAACAGTGTCAAACCAAAGAAATAAGGGTCTGCTTTCCTGGAACTTACATTCTAAAGCTCTGTGGCCCAACATGGAGCCACAAGTCACATGTGACTCTTGAGCACTTAACATGTGGCTGGGCCAAACTGAGATGTGCTCTTAAGTATAAAATACCCAGTAGATTTCAAAGACTTGGTAAAAATAAACGATCAATTATCTCATTAATAATGTTCACATTGATTGCATGTTGAAATGATAATAGGGGATTAATAAAATGTATTAGTAAGATTCATTCCACCTGTTTTGTTGTTAGTTTTTTTTTTTTTTCAGTGTGGGAACTAGGAGATTTAAAATTATATACGTGGCAATTTTTGCACTTGGAATTATATTCCCACTGGACAGCACTGGTGTAGAGAAGCTGATAAACAGTAAGTTATCAAATAATGGGTTGAGGTCATCTCTGAAAGTGACAGATGCTCTGAAGACACAGCAGGATATGGTATAAAGAGAGATAGGGCAGGATGTTGCTGTGGTTCAGTTGCTCAGTCATGCCCAACTCGTTGCGACCCCATGGACGGCAGCACGCCAGGCTTCCCTGCCCTTCACCGTCTCCCGGAGCTTGCTCAGACTCATGTCTGTTGAGTCGCTGATCCCATCCACCCATTCCATCCCCTGCTTCACTTTAAATAGAATGGGCAGGGACTTCCCTGGTGGTCCAGTGACTAAAACTCCGAGCTCCCAAAGCAGGAGACCTGGTTCCATCCCTGGTTAGGAAACAAGATCCTACATGCCCCAACTAAGACTTCACACGCTGCAACTGAAGACCCTGCGTGTCCCACCTCAGAGATCTCATATGCGGCAGTAAGACCCAGAGCAGCCAGATAAATAAATAAATGTGCTAAATGAATCAATAAACAGGATGGTCAGTGTTACGGGCCGAAGTCTTTCCCCCAAATTCATATTCTGATGTCCTGACCTGCAATACCTCAGAATGTGGCTGTGTTTGGAGTCAGATATTTGGGGTCTTTAAAGAGATCACTAAATTAAAGCGAGGTCCCTAGAGGGGGCCCTCATCCACTGTGACAGTGCCTTATAAGAAGAGGGGGTCACGACGCAGACACGCACAGAGCAAGGACCACGTAAAGACGCGCGGAGCAAGGACCACGTAAAGACGCGCGGAGCAAGGACCACGTAAAGATGCACGGAGCAAGGACCACGTAAAGACGCACGGAGCAAGGACCACGTAAAGACGCACGGAGCAAGGACCACGTAAAGACGCGCAGAGCAAAGACCACGTAAAGACGCACGGAGCAAGGACCACGTAAAGACGCGCAGAGCAAGGACCACGTAAAGACGCGCGGAGCAAGGACCACGTAAAGACGCGCGGAGCAAAGACCACGTAAAGACGCGCGGAGCAAGGACCACGTAAAGACGCGCGGAGCAAGGACCACGTAAAGACGCGCGGAGCAAGGACCACGTAAAGACGCGCGGAGCAAGGACCACGTAAAGACGCACGGAGCAAGGACCACGTAAAGACGCACGGAGCAAGGACCACGTAAAGACGCACGGAGAAGACGGCCGTCTGCAAGCCGAGGAGCGAGGCCTCCCTCGGAAGGTACCAACACGGCAGGCATCGTGACCTTGGGCTTCCAGCCCTGAGAACTGTGAGACAACACCTCCTGTTGTTGAAGCCCCCGGTCTGTGTGACGGCAGCCTGAGCTGACTGAGACAGCCAGGAAGGTCTTGCCGAGGCGGTGACATGGGAGCTGAGTGGCAGGAACGACCCACCTCCTGAAAATCTCTGGGAAGACAATTCTGGGTCCGGGAAACAGCAAGCACAGAGGCCCGGGGAGGGGAACAGGCGGAGCGGACTCTGCGGCTGGCTCAAGGCAAAGGAGGGTGCAGAGAGGGGATGAGGCGCGCCGGTAGATGGGGTCACACCTCAGCATATTTGCAGGGCTGTCAGCCCCGCCCCCCAGTCCCGCTACAATACGTTGAACGTCACTTAATGTAAAACCTCCTCTGTGGCACATTGTCCAGGATGTCTTTAAGAAGCTCTGTATCCTGGAATCCACTTATAGCACCCTTCACTTAGAATCTGTCAACCCTGCTGCAAACCAAATGCACCCCGACAGCCCTGTTTCCCAGGCACCGACGGTGAGTCAGCACGGCTGAAAGCCCCGGGGCCTCCAGGAACTGGGCTCTGCCAGTGAGGACACTCGCAGGTATTTTTAACGTCGCCTGTGCTGGGGTGCTGGGGACCAGAAAAAGACTTCAAGGGATGGAACAGGGGAGTCCAAGAGCAGGAGGGGCGACGCTGGTCTGAGCTGTGACAGCCTCATTCGGAGGGGGTGGAGGGTAGTGGAGGGCTTGCTGGGTGTCCGTGGGGCTCCCCCAAACTTCCACAGGGTGAAGTGGGATGAGAAACAATAGTGGGGACCAGCAGCCTGGGACCCCAGAGGAGGGCTGGCTCCCTGCTTCAGGAAATCTCTGCTGCTGCTGCTAAGTCGCTTCAGTCGTGTCCGACTCTGTGCGACCCCATAGACGGAAGCCCACCAGGCTCCCCCGCCCCTGGGATTCTCCAGGCAAGAACACTGGAGTGAGTTGCCATTTCCTTCTCCAGTGCATGAAAGTGAAAAGTGAAAGTGCAGACGCTCAGTCGTGTCCGACTCTTAGCGACCCCATGGACTGCGGCCTACCAGGCTCCTCCGTCCATGGGATTCTCCAGGCAAGAGCCCTGGAGTGGGGTGCCATTGCCTTCTCCAGGGAAGCTCTGAGCTGCAAGGAAACCTGAAGAATGTCTAGCCTACACCCACTTCTTCTTTTCCACTTTTTTTTTTTTAATTTTGGGGGGTTTTTTAGATATGCTGTGGCATGTAGGATCCTTGCACTTTACTTATTTTGGATCCCTCCACTTTATTTATTTTGGAAATCAATGTGTGGGGCTTCCCTAGTGGTCCGGCAGCCAAGACTCCGCTCCCAGTGCAGGGGGCCCAGGTTCAATCCCTGGTCGGGGGGCTGGGTCCCACACAACGCGACTAAGAGTTTGGTGTCTCATTTAAGACCTGATGCAGCCAAATAAATAATAGTAATAATAAAATAACACTGAACCACCTGCTGCAAGAATCCATTCTCCTTCAGAGCCACAGGACTTTCCGTTTCTTCCTTCCTCCCTAGATACACATTGCTATCACTTTATATGTATTTGTTTATTTTTGAAAAAAGAAGTATAGGTCTGGCAGCCAAAGACTAGTGAGCCCATAGGGGATGGTGAGAGCACGCAGAGGAGGCTGGGGAGGGGGCGACGCTCTAGAGCCACTGCTCCACACGGGCTTGTCTTCGGGAATCTTGTCCATGTTTTAAATAGCGAAAAAATTAAATTATACCCGCAAGAATAGGGAAAAATCCTAAAACTGAATAAAAACAAAGGCATTAGCTGTATTCCAATCACACAGAGATGGCTAACCCAAGTACCTTCTAGGTCTAATACCTGGGTCACCAATCCTCAGACTGAAGACAAAAAAGGACTCAAATGCATCTAAAACTCTATTTAGCAGTCAGGTTGTTGCAGAGGTTTGGATACGACAATTCTGAAATGATTTTGCGTGTGCTGTAGGATGAAATACATGAGTGGACAACTTGGTTGTGCTGAAAGCCTGGTTTGCCACCGTGGGAGACGGGAGACCCGGTGTGGGAGGCAAAGAGGGGCCTGTGGTATCAGGCTGGCATTAAAGATAAGGGTATAAACTCAGATATCAGTATAAACTCAGCTTACACACAGTCGTGTGCACACACTCAGACAGGTTTCTCTGTCCACTCAGAAGCCAAGAAGCTGTGACAGCCTGGTTGCAATGGTGCATCCAGATCCCCACGCTGGTTTCCAAATACCACCCCCCTGAAAGAAACCAGGGCCCCTCGAGAAATGGCTGAATCCAGGGTCAGAGCAGGAACATAAGGTAAGCCTGAATACCTTGCTGTGCAGGTGAGGAAGTGTTCAAAATGATGAGATCACATAAACAAGACACAGACGGAAGACAGAGGTGGTTCATTTCCGGGCTGGTAACCAGCCAAGAGGGGCTTCCCGGGTGGTTCAGAGGTAAGAATCCGCTTGCCAGTGCAGCAGCCCCACCCTCCAGAATTATGCAGGTTCGCTCAGGGGAATCAATGTTCCGTTGCTGTTTCAATGCGGTGCTGGCTTCTATCAGCGAGAATGTGGTTTAACATGCCCAGGGGACCCCAAACAATACGTGCACCCCTCTCCAACTGCTTTCATCACAGTCAGGAGTAGGCGAAGCTTTAGACTTGCTCAGCCTTCCCCAGATTGCTTGAACAACATCGGGAGAAGATGGAAGCGATTTCCTGACGCTGAGTGCAAACGTTCCACTGTTTCAGGGTTCAGTGATGGGAGAGTGGGGTCTCTTCCTGGCTCCCCACACTGATCGGCTGGGTGAGACAGGGCAGCCACCTCACCTCTGTGCATCTTGGTTCCCCATCCAAAAGACAGGTGCAGCCAAACCTGCCCAAACAGCTGGGAGGAGCCACAGTGGGAGTCAAACCCAAGAGGACCTCTGAGCTGCAGCGCGCGCTGGGGAACCCGCAGGGAGGAGCACACATGTGGACCTCCCTGCTCGCTCTCAGCAGCTTCCGCCAGAAGGGAGAAGACGTACCTGTCCCGGGGAGGCAGCAGACAGGCAACGTCTTTCATGTAAGATCCAGAGGTTTAACACGCATAAGTCTTTTTAGAGAACATGCAGCAGCTTGCTAAGTGCCAAGCGCTGCGCTGTGTGCCTTCCACACATGAGCTGGTGGGATCATTGCAAAGACTCTATGAACTGGCTCCCCACTCCAGCATTCTTGGGCTTCCCTTGTGGCTCAGCTGGTAAAGAATCTGCCTGCAGTGCGGGAGACCTGGGTTTGATCCCTGGGTTGGGAAGAGCCCCTGGAGAAAGGAAAGTCTACCCACACCAGTATTCTGGCCTGGAGAATTCCATGGACTATATAGTCCATGGGGTCACAAGGAGTCAGACATGACTGAGTGATTTTCACTTTCACTATGAACTGGATTCTTAATCCTATTTTAATGACAGAGAGTTAAAAGAATAAAATAACTTCCTCAAGGCCATGCAACCAAGAATCATCAGAACCTGGATTTGACTCCAGCTCTGCCCAGAGGCCTTGTCACCCCCCTCTTAAGTGGGCTGAATAGTGGCCCCCCAAAGACATGCCCCATCTTCATCCCTGAAACCTGTGAATATTTCCTTAGACGGTACAAGAGTAAAAATTACCTGATATGGCAAAAGGTGTGATTAAATTAAGACTCTCCAGAGGAGGCATTTATCTTGGAATCTGGGTGGGCCCTACATGTAATCACAAGTATCCTTATAAGAGAGACACACACAGGGCTTCCCTGGTGGTCCAGTGGTAAAGAATCTGCCTGCCAGTGTAAGGCATACAGTCTGGGAATATCTTGGTCTGGGATCGATCCAGGTTGATCCCTGGTGTGGGAAGATCTCACACACTGCAGAGCAACTAAGCCCATGTGCCTCAAATACTGAGCCAGCCCTCTAGAGCCTGTGAGCGGCAACCAGGGCGCCCATGCACAACTGCTGAAGCCCGCACGTCTAGGTTCAGTGCTCGGCAGCAAGACAAACCACCGCAATAAGCAGCCCAAGGACCGCAACTCGAGAAAAGCCCTGAAGACCCAGTGCAGCCAAAGGTAAGTAAATAAAATAATAAGTCTGTTTTGAAAATAAGAGAGACACATACGGAGTGGACGGAAGTTGATCCGCCATAGATCAACATGGACAAGGTCTAATGACCAAGCCAGTGTGCCTGAGACGCATCACTGGGTGTGTAATGCAGGCCAGCTGCTCAGCGGCCATCATGGCCTGCCTGCTGCCCCCGCCAGTTCATGCCTAGGTGGAGTGGGTTCTGAGAACTTTCCCTGAAGCCCCAGGTCCCCTGGGAAGGCTGGTGCCACGGTCATGTGGGGTGTGGTGAGCAGCCTAATGATTCTCCTAAAGATGTCCATGTCCTAATCTCCCCAACTTGTGAATATGTTACCTTACAAGGCAAAAGGGACTTTGCAGATGCGGATAAATTAAGGATCTCAAGATGGGGAGATGACGCTGGATTGTCTGGATGGGACCAACGTCATCACGTGGGTCCTTACAAGAGGGAGGGAAGGCTGGATTCAGAGAAGGAGATGGGAGGACAGTTGCGGAGGCCACAGGGATGCTGGCCCAGGAGCTAGGAAATTCAGGAAGCTTCTAGAAGTTGGAAGAGGCATGAAATGGATTCCTCCCTGAGAACCTCCAGAAAGAACACACCTCTGATGACCCACTTGGGACTGGTGACCTCCAAACCTTAAGATAATGAATCCATGTGGTCTTAAAGCACCAGCTCTATGCTGAGGTGGCCTCCCTGCTGCTCCTGCCAGCTCACCCAGGAAGGAAAAGGATGCTGAGGACTTTCCCTGGGGCCACAGAAGGAATGGGAAAGCTGGCTGCCACGGTCAATTATGCGGGGTGACGTGGCAGATGGCGGGCTGCAGGGGTGGGTGTGTGTGTGTGCGGCAGACAGTGAGGCAGAGAACAGGAGCCTGAGACTTGGAAACAGGTAAAGAGCGGTGTGTGTCTTCCCACACAGGCAGTGTTTCCTTCCATCTTCCCTCACTTTACAGAAAAACAGGAGTGGGATCTGGCTCTGTTTGAGCTACACGCTTTTTCCCAATAATACTGTTGCTGTTCAGTAGCTCAGTCAAGCCCAATCTTTGGGACTCATGAACTGTAGCACACCAGGCTCCCCTGTCCCTCACTGTCTCCCAGAGTCTGCTTATTCTCATGCCCATGGAGTCGGTGATGCCACCCAACCATCTCATTCCCTGTGGCCCCCCTTCTCCTCCTGCCCTCAATCTTTCCCAGCATCAGGGTCTTTTCCAGTGAGTCGGCTCTTCGCATCAGGTGGCCAAAGTATTGGAGCTGCAGCTTCAGCATCAGTCCTTCCAGTGAACATTCAGGGTTGATTTCCTTTAGGATGGACTGGTGGATCTCCTTGCTGTCAAGTTTAGATCAGTCGCTCAGTCGTGTCTGACTCTTTATGATCCCATGAACTGCAGCACGCCAGGCCTCCCTGTCCATCACTAACTCCTGGAGCTTGCTCAAACTCATGTCCATTGAGTCGGTGATGCCATCCAACCATCTCATCCTCTGTCATCCCCTTCTCCTCCCACCTTCAGTCTTTCCCAGCATCAGGGTCTTTTCTAATGAGTCAGTTCTTCACATCAGGTGGCCAAAGTATTGGAGTTTCAGCTTCAACATCAGTCCTTCTAATGAATATTCAGGACTGATTTCCTTCAGGATTGATTGATTGGATCTCCCTGCAGTCCAAGGGACTCCCAAGAGTCTTCTCCAACACCACAATTGGAAAGCATCAATTCTTCAGTGCTCAGCCTTCGTTATAGCCCAACTCTCACATCCATACACGACTACCGGAGAAACCATACCTTTGACTATATAGACGTTTGTCGGCAAAGGTTTTTCCCAATAATGGCTTCTTAATAACAGGAACCACAATGACAACTAGAAACTACTGAGTTTTTAGTGTGGGCTAGGCACTGTTCTAAACATTTTACATGTTTTCGCATCAATTTTATTCTTAAAAAATTTTTTAAAATTCTTTTTGCAGTTTTTAAAGACTACTTTCCATTTACAGTTACAAACTATCTATATTCTCTGTGTTGTACAATTCATCCTTATAGTCTGTTTTACACTCAATAGTTTATGCCTTCCACTACCCCCCACCCCGTTTTGCACCTTCAACTGTTTGTTTTCTGTGAGTCCGCTTCTTCTTTGTTATATTCACTAGTTTGTCATATTTTTTCAGATTCTACATACAAGTGATACCATACAGTATTTGTCTTTCTCTGTCTGACTTAGTTAAGTTAGCACAGTGCCCTCCAAGGCCCTTCATGTTGCTGCAAATGGAAAAATTTTGTTCTTCTTTATGGCTGAGTAGTATTCCATCGTGTGTGTGTGTGTGTGTGTGTGTACCACATCTTCTTTGTCCATTCGTCTGTTGATGGACACTTAGGTTGCTTCCATATCTTGGCCATTATAAATAATGCTGCTATGAACATTGCATCTAATTAGTTTAATTTTTTTGGCTGCGTTGGGTCTTGGTTGTGGCACACAGGATCCTCGTTGCATCTTGTGGGTTCCAGGCTCTCCAGTGTGGCTCATGGGCTCCAGAGTACACAGGCTCAGTAGCTGCACCGTGCAGGCGTATTGCCCCACGGCATGTGGGATTTTAGTTCCTCAACTGGGGATAGAACCCACGTTCCCTGCATTGCAAGGTGCGCTGTTAGCAACTGGACCACCAGGGAAGTCCCCATTGCATCTAATTCTTAAGGCTACCATATCAGTTACAGGCTGTTAATAGCTATGAGAAGACAATATTATTTAAGAAAGAAAATTTCTCATACAAAGTTCACTTCTCCATCAGCCCCTGCTGAGACTAGTGCCCGCATCACAGTAGGGGTTCAGTAAACATTTGCTGATGAACGCACGTATGGCCCGGTGGGGGAAGCAGGTCAATCACGCTGGTAAACTCATTCTGGTGAGTCCATGGTACAGTTTAGGGGATGGAATATACTCCAGGGTAGGTGGTGTCTGGAAAGTCTTTTCTGATAAGGAGAGAGTAATTCTGAAAAGTGAAAGTAGAGTGTTTGTGGTCGAAGCAAGTAGCCAAGAGTGATTCATGAAGAATCACTCTTCAGTGTCAGCGTGGGTGACACCGTTAGGGAAGGAGATGGGAAAGAACTGGAACCTGCGAGAAAGCCTGCGTGGCTGAAGCGTGAAAGTGACGGAGCGTTGGGCACAGTAAGCCAGGGGGGCTGAGGTTGGTGCGCAGAGAGTTCCTGTGGCCGCTGGAGCGAGTCAGCACATCTCAGTGGCTTAACACAGCAGAAGCATGCTCTCCCGCAGTGCTGGGGGCCAGAGTCTGAAGCCGTGGAGCCGCTGGAGCCCTGCTCCCTCCACGCTCCAGGAGAGCATCCTTCCTTCCCTCTTCCCACTTCTGGCGCCTCCTAGCAGCCCTTGGCTTGTGGCCACATCACCCCAATCTCTGCCTCTGTCTTCACGTGGCCATCTTTCCTCGGTGTCCTCTTCTCTTCTTGTAAGGACACCTGTCACTGGGTGTAGAGTCCTACCCAGAAAACCATCCTTTCAGTCCTTAACCTAATGACATCTGCAGAGACCCAGTCTCCAGTGAGCTCACATTCCCAGATAGTAGGGTTAGGACTTGTAAATGAGTCTCTTTGGGGGGCACTATTCAATCCAGTACAAACCAACTCTTATGATGTTTCCAAAACTCACTTTTTCCAGCAGCCAAGGGCCCTGGGAAGCCACACACCACCACCCCCACCACCCCCGTCATCAGGATTGAACTAATAAAGAGCACCAGTGAATGGACAGAAGCATTCTAGAAACGCCACTGAGCGCATCAAACAGGCTCCTTCCTGCGTCTGGGGGATATATTTAGGCCAGTGGGAATGTAATTCAGTCAAGGTCCCCCAAACCCATATGGTGCCCTCCCCCGGTTTCTGGAGTTGTATTTCACTTCGTTGAAAAACTACAGCCAAAATGAGAGTCTCAAAATAAGAACCGCCTAAGGATCAAGAATATTTGAATTGGAAAACATCCCCTAGAAGTATCTGGTCTCTGCCTGTCTTTTGTTACCTTTTCCTTACCACCTAAGCGTTTCCCTTGCAGCTCTTCCTGAGAGCAACAGCCCTAGCCAGCGAGCCACTACTTGGGGGCTTCGTCCCTGGGGTAGGGGGACCTGGAGGGAAGGATGGATTAGTGGGAAAGGCAGCCAGTCTGTTCTGAATGGTTCTCAATCACTCGTCGTCTTTTTCCAGCCTCGGCTAGATTTAGACTTCCTCTTCTCCCTTTCTCCTCAAGGACCATGCATTATGGATGAGGACTATTTCTTATTCAGCAGCTGAGAATCACTCTCCTATCAAAAACACCTCTTTCATATGCTCTCAGAAATCAACACCCGCCTCTGAACTCTGAGTTTTCTGGCCTGGCTCTGCAGAGGGGCCTGTTGGATGAAACTCTTGAGTGACAAAACGTTTGAAATGTAAAATGTGCACAGGCTCCCACTGCAAACACACACAATAGTCATGGTGGGTAAAGACCACCCACAATGTCGCCAGGGCCCCTTGGGTTGCGATCATTCTAACCTAGGGAGAGGAGGGGGGCAATTTCAAACCTTAAGACAAGAGGTCTCTTTTCCAGGTGGATTGGAAGGTACTGAGATTTTTGCTTTGGATTCTGTGCTGGGCGTATTTCTTTCACGCTCTTGTGCCTTCCTTTTCCTTTATGCTTCTAAGTCCGACCTACAATGGGGCTTCCCAGGTGGCTGGGTGGTAATTTAGGAGATGCAGATTCCATCCCTGGGTGGGGAGGATCCCCTGGAGAAGGAAATGGCCACCCACTCCAGTATCCTTGCCTGGAGCATCCCATGGACTGAGGAGCCTGGCAGGTTTGCAGTCCACGGTGTCGCCAAGAGTCGGACACAACAGCACACGTGCACACTGCTCCGATTCGGGGGGAACCAGGGCCTGCTTCACCCCCTCCTCACATGTACTTGTCCCAGGACCCAGTTAGTGCTGACTCATCCGGGGCGGGGAGGGGTGTGCCCCTTTGCTGGTTTTCCTGGTAACGAATGAGCCCACCTGAGGTCAGTTCCCCTGTAACTGATAATCTCCTCATTGCCCTGGGAGCAAAGATTGTCACCACGTCCTGCCTATGGTGCGATGCACACGGTGGGGTGTCTGTCACTCCAGGACCTCACTTCAGATGCATAAGCTCCCCCTACATTAAACCATTGGTGTCTCAAAAAAACAGGGTTGGGGGGTTGGTAATCAATCAAAAGCATAAGAGATGCTGTGAAACCTTTCAGTTAGAAGTTCTGAGCTCCACTGTACAGCATTATGGCTACAGTAAATATAGAGCTAATAATAACATCTTGTACACTTGGAATTTGCCAAGGGGGTAGTTCTCACCACACACCACAAATAATAACTCTCCAGGTGATGAATAAGTTAGTTTAGCTTGACTGTGTTATCATTTCACAATATACATACATCACATTGCACATCTTAAACATATACAATTTATATTTGTCAATCATACGGCAGTAAAGCTGGGGGAAAAAAAACTTTTAAAAAAGAGAGAAGAGAAAGGTCTGGATGCAAACTCAGTTTGGTGTGGCCCTCATTATTCACACACAGAAATAAAGGCTGATAGAACTTGACCCCCCCCTAAAAAAAGAACCGCCACTAGGAACAAACAGTTCAAAGATAATAAAAGTAATTAGGTGGGTAATTTTCTTCTTTCTAATTCTAAAATAGCTATCATTAACAGATAAGAGCTAGTTTTACTAGTTGGCTAGTTTCTTAAACCTGCTTTCAAGCCCTACTCATGAGACAGAAGACAGGACGTGTGCAAAATGCATTATGTTTCTGTGTTCTGAATTTTTCGTTTTTACAGTAAAAAAATCCCCTATACTAACCGTGCTAACTAATTCTAAGTGTTAACTATGGCCCAGATGCTGGTGTACGTCCTTTGCATGTCTCACCCCTGTTAACCCGCTGTGAGATCAATATGATGACTATCCCCACTTTACAGATAAGCCAACTGAGACACAGAGATGTTGAGTGACTTATCCAAGATCACACAGCTGGAGCTTGGAATCTAAACAAAAGCTCTTCGTGAGTGCCTCCAACAAGGGCAGTGTCGAAGTGACACTGTGTGACTTTTAAGGCAAAGTCATAAGAGGCAACACAGAGCCTGCGTGGGTCACCGAACATCTCCTTGGCTCCCAGCCCCGTGCTATAAGGAAGCCCAGGCCGCATGGGGAGACCGTATGACGAGGACCCAGATCTCGTGGCCCTCCCCAGCCCCCACCCCAGCCAGGACCAGCCTGGCAGCCACATTCCGGAAGCAGGTCCTTCAATCCCGGCCAGAAGGCCTCCTGGCTTTATGTCCCAAGGGAGAGAGAGGAGCCTCCCACACTAACCTGGTCCCAGTGGCTGATTGGTGGGCCAAATAAATGACCACTTTTGCTGACGCCGCTGTTTGGGCGTTTACTGATGAGCCCTAGAGAACTAGAAGAGTGGCTAGACCCAGCTGGCCCGGGAAATCCTCATCAGCTTCCTGTTGGGGAGGAGACCTCTCTGCCCACGGCGAGAGGCCTGCCCACTGCTCTAAACACGGCTCTCTCTCAACAGTCCGTCAGCTGCAAAAGTCCAGGGCGGCAAAGCACGTGTCTCCCTCGGAGGGATTTCAGGCCAGAGCCGGACAGTCACAGGGAGGCGAGACGGACAGCAGACATCTCCCAGCGGCCCCGAGAGGGGGAGACGGGGGAGGTGAAGACGCAGGGTGTCCCGGGCGCACTGAACGCCGCGTCTCTGCTCCAAGATGTCTCTGGGCCCTGGCTCTGCGGACAAGCCCCTCGGCTGACCGGGCCAAGGTTCCCCTCGACCGTTACCTCTTTCCCCATCTCCATCTTGCCAGCTCTTTCAAGTCTGACTTACACTGTGCTCAGCCTCCGTTGCTCTCTCCCCCGGCAGGAACCACCAGCAAATCCTACCTCCCTTCAGAGTGTACCCACCACTTCCCGCCCTGGCCCAAACCACCCCTCTCACCTGGATCTCTGCAGTCACCTCACCCTGGTCTTCTGCTTCTGCCCCGCGGCTTATCCTCCACAGGCGGCCAGAGCATCTATTTGAATGTAGTTTAGGTTGCGTCACTCACAGCTCTCTGGCGGCCCATCCCACTCAGAGGAAGGGTCAGGTGTCCCCCCGAGATGCGTCATGACCCAGCCTTGCATCTCCTGCCTCACCCCCTCGCTCATTCATTCCTGCCACCCTGGCTCCTCACTGTTTCTTGGGTCTGTCAGGGCCACTGCAATCTCAGGGCCTTTGCACTTGCTATTTCCCTTCCGCTAAGTATATTCGTGGCTCATATTCCTCACTCTTTTCACCTATTTCCTTAACTTGACTTTCCAATAAGAGCTTTCTTCCCTCTCATCTCAAAACTCCAACTCACCCCAACACTTCATCTCCCTGCCTTTGCCTTATATTTTCTTGTTAGTTTTTACCCAATATGCTAGATATTTGCTTAACTTCTTTAACTTCTTCTGTTTTCCCCACTAATACTTCAAATGTGGGGGGATGTGATTCTTATGTGTTTTGTTCTCTGTCAAATCCACAGCACCTAGAGCAAAGTCTGGTCCATAATAAGTGCTCGATAAACCTTTGTTGAATAAATATAGACCTTCGAGACTCAGTCTGACCCTCGATCGGTCTAGGAATCTCTTCTGAGGCATGCCCACCCCGACCCCCGAGGTGGGGGAGGCGCTTACCAGGACACAATAAAGTCATCAACAGCCCCATCATTGTCAAAACCACTTACCCTGACTACATACCAAGCTCCGTGTCAAGCTCCTCATAGGAGACGGGCCAGGTTAAATGCAGAGTACAAATTTGAATTTTATATAAGAATTATTACTATTTTTGAGTGTAAGTATGTCTCACGCAGTACTTGGGAGATGCTTATACTTGAGGAAAATTGTTTATCAGGCACACTAGGCACAAGGGTCCTGCATTTTTATTTGCCGAATGTGGCAAGCTTACTTAACATACTGTTTCATCTCATTGTCATGAGGTAGGCGCTTGTGCTTCAGCTGAGAGCCTGCAGCGCAGTGGCTGCTGGGGGCCGGGAAAAAAAGACATTAGGAGAGGTTTGTAAGGCAGCCAAATAGCTCTCTGTCAAACCTGGAACCAAAAGAAAAATAAAATGTTGGAACCACCTGCTATTTCAAATGAGGAAATAAAAAAGAAGTGACAAGAGTGGCTTCAATCCAAGCAAAGAGAAATGAGCCTCTGCCTCTGGAAAATGAATGAAACGAGAGACTTCGGGAGAAATGGCTTCTCCGTGGTGGAAGATAAAAGGCACTGTCTCCACCTTCAAGGACGAGCCAGGCTCTGGATAAGACACGGCGGGGGCTTCAGCAGGTCAGGAGGACCCCCAGGAGGGCAGGGAAGCGGGCTTTCAGCGTCCAAGGCTGGTCCCCTCCCGGGAGGCCGGGCGCCCGCACGAGGCCGGGGCGCCCCCTGCAGGAGGAGAAGCTGTACTGCCGGGTTATCAGTCCATTGTTGAGTCGTCAGTGTGGAGAGACGGAGGGCGGGAGAAGGGGGCGGCAGAGGATGAGCCGGCTGGATGGCATCACCGACTCGATGGGCGTGAGCTTGAGTGAACTCCGGGAGCTGGTGATGGACAGGGAGGCCTGGCGTGCTGCAGTCCACGGGGCCGCAAAGAGTCGGACACGACCGAGCGACTGAACTGAGCTGAGTGCGCACGATCGGTCGTGTCCGACTCTTCTGAGACCGCATGGACTGCAGCCCGCCGGGCTCATCTGTCCATGGGATTTTCAAGGCGAGAATTCTGGAGTGGGTTGCCATTTCTTTCTCCAGGGGATCTTCCCGACCCAGGGATGGAACTCGGGTCTCCTGCTTCTTTTCTGGTAGTAAAATTTCCTCTCTTCATATTATCCATCATATATGCTCTATTTTATTTTATTAACATCTTTCTCCCACAAATAGGATGGATACTTCATTCTACCAGGGTAAAAGTATACTACTTTTTACTAGTCTTGTTCACTGCTGAATTCCCCACATCTAAAACAGTTTCTAGCAGGTGAACAGTCATCAAGACGTGTATGTTAAATAAATGAATGAATGAGTGGAGCTTCTAGCTGGGGCCTTAAGGGAAGCATTTGGAGAGAAGAGCTCAGAGGCAAGGCTGCTGGGTTCCGCACGGGGTGGGCACCCTGATCCGACCACAGTGACGGGGTCTTGACAAATACAAGGAAGCGATGGTGGCCCCAGGGGACGACACAAACCCCATGGAGCGCTAGAAGGATGAGGGCCTCAGCGGAGTCAGGGAAAGCAAGACTGCCGGTGCGCTGGATCGCTAGGGCCGAGTGGAGGGGTGAGACGCACGGTGGATGGGGAGGGTCTCATTTGAAGCCCCGAGAATGCTCGGCTTTGGGGGAAATGTTCCCTCTGGTGCCACTCCTCTGGCCTGTGTGTGAGTTCCACGGGCTCTGCCTTGCGTGGGAAACCAGTGAACCCTGAGATTCGGGTTTGAGGAAAGGGTCTCATCTGGACCAGCCCCGGTTACAGAGGCCCACAGGCTAAATCTCCTGACCTCTCCACCATCAGGGCTGTGTCCTAGGCCTCTCTCTTGGGAAGTCACCAGCCTGGGGAGGATCCCAGGGCCACAGCGTCGCTGGGCCATCCAGTCACCAAGTAGCACTCTGATCTCCCTCGGTTCAGTTCAGTTCAGTCACTCAGTCATGCCCAAAGCTTTGCGACCCCATGGACTGCAGCATGCCAGGCCATCACCAACCCCCGGAGCTTGCTCGAACTCATGTCCATTGAGTCGGTGATGCCATCCAACCATCTCATCTTGGTCTCCCTCCAATCCATCTAATTTCCAATCCATCTCGGTCAGCCTCTCTGGTGTGCAACCTGCAGAGATCCTCAGCTGTCCATGTGTCCTGACTCTGGTTGAGGAAATACAATCACTCTACATATAATCTCCAAAAAGACACCCTGATGCTCTGAGAGGCGGTTGGGGGTCCAAGTTCTAGAGCCAAGAGCCGAGGAAGAAGCTAGACTCTGCCCCTAAAAACAAATGACCCACATGGCCCTGGGAGATGTCACCTTAGCAACCCTGCTCAAAGCATCCTGTGTCCTTTTGAAGTGTGTTTTCAATGGGCGTTCTGGGGAAGAATTGGCCTGGTTCCTAAAACCCCTAATTGTATGTAATTTTAATAAATACAGTAATTAGGTCTCACTCTGGCTTACAGTTCATGTGGAATTGCTTTTTTATGGGAACAAGAGAATTAAGCAGAAAGAATTCTAGAGCATCTCTGAATTCACGGACCTCACTCCTAAAGGGAAACTGGCTCTTAGGACCTCAAAGTCGTGTCCAGAAACCACTGCTCTTTTGGTGGCCCTTTGGGAGCAGGAAAATAACAAACAAAACTCCTGCCACGGCTCTCATCAACCCCCTAAATCTAAACTTAGAGAATAGAAGTTACAAGACGGCAGTCTACAGTCCATTTCCTACTGTTTAATGGATTCTGTGTGTTCAACATTTTAAAAGTTCAGAAATTTCACATAAGAATGTGGATTTTCAGCTTCTCTTAACATCTCAGAGGTCAGGCCACATGGAGCCTGCATTCCCATCTGACAACAATGGGCTGAAAGCAAGAGGCATATTTGAGAAGGCTCATGCTCTTCACTTTGCTCCAGTCCCCACTCCTCTTTATTGCCTCTGGCACCACCCATTTTCAATGCTCTTAGCAATCTTAAGGTAGGAAAGTCATTCTCCGTGCCCATGTTTCTATCAGAAATGGGGAGATGTAAGGCTGATGGCCAAATGGTTCCAAGAAATATGGGATAGGTCATATGAGTTTATGGATGAGATGAATATAGCCAAATCTTTCTTGGCTAATAATACCACCCCATCACTATAACCCAACATCTTTATTTGTTTTTGAGGACTTTCTAGGTCCTGGTAGGCATGGGAATTCTTAATCCCTTCTCTTGTAGATTGCATTATGGTTCCCAGCTCAGGCCACTCCCCTAGACCATACAACTTTGCTGTTCCCCCCACTAGAGGTAGAGTGTACTTCCCCATCCTTCACCTTGGGCTCAAGCAAAGGACCTGTTTGGCTCATGGGATTTGGACAGATGTATCACAAACATAGGCTTGTGGGAAGTCAGGCTTGTGCTCCTGACCTTTCCCATGACCATGAGAAGCGGCAACACTTCAGGTAGCCTCTATTTCAAAAAGAATACAGCTTGGAGCCATGATCCCAAAGAGCTCAGCCCTGATCAGGCAACCCAAAACACGTGAGCAATGAGAAATTAGAAATTCTTATCGGTCACAGAATTTGGAAATGGTTTATTTTGCTGCAGTGTTATGGCATGAGGTAACTGGTATGTTTGCTGCCATAGAATCTCATAATACCCTCTTCCTTTTAGTTATTGTTTAGTCACTTAGTCATGTCTGACTCTTTGCAACCCCATGGACTGTAGCCCACCAGGCTCCTCTGTTCGTGGCAAATCCCAGGCAAGAATACTGAAGTGGGTTGCCATTTCCTTCTCCAGGGATTAAACCTGCATCTCCTTCGTTGGCAGGCAAATTCTTTACCCCTGAGCCACCAGGGAAGCCCATCTCTTCCTTTTTGAGACCTCACAATGTTGCAGGTATGGGTTATTTACTTGAATAGTATCTCCCTTCCATGAAGTATGAGATGAATCTGGTTAATTGTAGGTCTTTCTGTCAGAGCCCACGGACCCCCAGCTGCTACTCCTCCAGCATCTTAATTTGGAGCTCACCAACCTGGTCCCAGTCAGGCAGCTTGTTCAGGATTTCTGAATGTCATCAGGCTTGGGGAAACAAATGGCACGCACAGATGGGCTTCATCTTGTTTTCAAATACAATATGAAAATGCTCGATGGAATCCGTATAATGTGATCAATGTGCATCTCTCAACAGCCGGTCATCCAGGGCACGCGGGGCCCTGATCGTCTTCAGGGAGAGTGTGCTGGGTGCCCGACAAGGCACAGCGATGTAGTCATCACAGACCCACGTCAGAGCCCAGGGTCAGGCCGGGCCAACGGCGGGAGGAGGAGGACCTCGGGGCTCTCTCCCTCCCCCCAAGCGCTGGATGTGGGGTTCACTGGGGCCCAGGCTGTGCCTTCTTCAGCTAGCCCTCTGGACCCTCTTTCCAGGAAGCCTCACCCCTCCCCAGGGCTTCAGACTGGGTCTCTACGCCGGTGTCTAGTTTCAAAGCCCAGACTCACAGCAAGTAGGCATTGGGCAGGCCCGCTTCGATCCCTCACGGGCAGCTCACACTTGGCGTGTCCAGGCTGGGCTATCTGCCCATTCCTCCCTTTCCTCTAGCAGTAACTAGGACCACCCAGCTGCTCCAGGCAGGAACTTGCAAGTAATCCTGGCATCTTGCTTTCTCCCCGCTGCCGACCCCATGCCTGAGCCAAGCCCAACAGACACTACTTCCAGAATCTGTGCACTTCTGTTTGTCTCCACGGCCAGCACCTAGTCCAGGCCGCCGGGCGTCTCGCCTTGATTTTCTCAACAGTCATGTCAACAGTTTTCCCTGTTCCATCACCACCTGCAGCCTAGATGAGAACTTTGGAGATCTGGAGACGTGTTGGCTGCTCCGGTGGTGGGTTCACTCCATCGGTGATGGGGGCAGGAGGGGCCAGCGATGCCAGACGACCCGCAGTGAGCAGGAGCCCCCACAGAAAGGACTGTCCCCAAACTGGTCAGGCTGAGAAAGCCCCCCTGACCTGCGCATAGGAGAAAAATGTGTTTCAAAGCATTCCCCCTAGAATTCAACTCCTGTTTACATATAAAAAAAGGACTTTTTTGCATGACTGACAAATCCTGGATTTTCCAGGAAAGCAACTATCATATAAATAAAAAATTAAGAGAAGAATGAACCTCTCTATTTTAAACTTATACAAAGAGTTATTTGCCATTTTCGAAAAATCACATCACCTACAGAAATGCCAGTGGCATTAATCAGGTGGCCGCTGTAATAATCTGGGTCATTCTCCATTTGCAGCTGTTGTCTGCTGTTTCTCTGGGGTTGCATGTAAGTGTCAGC